CCCTCTCCCCCATGTGAACTGATCGACCTGTCATTGCGATCATCCAGATACGCTAGTTGATTTCATGTTTTTATTTCGATCGCGAACGTCAAATTCTGACCTAGTAGACGCACACAGTCTAATCTGAAACCGGCCAAGCACAAAATGTCACCCACGTAATGCTTGCACAGTGCACTCCTTATTTCAGACACGAAAACATTAGCAAAATATCAGGGCCCTCACGAGAAGCCCATCACCACACCATCATTCTGGAGTTGTGTTGAAAAAGTGAATGACACATTGTGAGTGCAGAAGAATAGCCACTGGTTCCTGATTCCTTATTTGGAATTGGTCATATACATATTATATTGTATTTACATGATTGCGAAGCATCAAAAATAAACTTGTCATTTTGTATTCCGTGGGACTGCTGAGACATCTGAAACAAGAAGAAACCTTGTTACCTTGATTCCACTCTGGTATTGTCAGACTGTTTCTTCCTCTCCCTTGCATGACTCGGTGTACCCTGACGAAAAAAATATATCCTTTCTGCACAAAGCACCAACTGAAATGATTCCGGAGATAGCGAAATTTCGTGTTATGTTTAAATTTTTATCGGGAAAAGTATGTTAGACAATTTCACAATTCTCTAGAACATCCATAGATCATACATGATTCACAAGCTCCAAAACAATTTGAATAGAGAAGTCAGAAACGTGGGTTTACAATGTCTGACAATGAATGCCACTAGCTATTCGTATGCGTGTAGTACCTCGTCCATGAGGTCATTTTATCATTCGAGTCTTCTGTGCATATTTCACGCTCTCGATAAAATAGCGTCCGAACGAAACCGATTTCCCAATATTTTTTCCTGGCTGGAAAAAGATATTTAAAAAACTAAATCTATATTGTCACCATGCCGATGATATCTTCATTCTAAGCAACATTAAGATTATATTAGTATTATATTTCACACTTATCTGGGGACAGACTGTGTGCCAAACAAAAAATGGTACAATAATCTTTATAAAAAAGAAAATCTTTAAAAGGTCCCACGAAGCTCATAATGAGAATACAAATCGGCAAACAAGCTCGTTTTCAGTGTCTTAATGGTGCCGTTACAACACAATAAATATGACTATATTTCTTGTGTTGTAATGGCATGAATAAGACACTGAAAAGAGGAAATGTTCCATGATTGGCTTGTGGACTGAGTACTGCCAGGTTGCCCAGGATAAAACGGATAAAACCTATTCCACTCCCCCAAACATCTAGGTAACTCGTCACAACGAACGGGATGACCGCGTCAATTTTTTAGTTAGAAATATTACTCTCTAACCGGATGAAAAGGTCTTCCGAAAGGACATGTGATCTGGGCAATATTTGGGTTTCACGAGCTGCTCCCCCATGCGATATAAAACTGGTCTCGTTCGCGCGTGAAATATGCACAGAAGACTCGTGAAACGATGAAAATGACCTCTTAGAGCACACGCTACACGCAAACGGGAATCGAACTGCATTGATCGTCAGGCATTGTAAGACATGGCATTTGTCGAAAAATTGGAAAACCAGGAATTTCGAGATATCATAGAATGCTTACCATTCTACTGCCGTTACGCTGATGATATTCTCATGTTACTTGACAGGAATACACTGTTGAAAATACAAACCAAAACATCTAAACGAGCTCAATTTTACGTC